GGGACCTGCATGATTTTCCTGGGATCATGTCTCCCAGAGTCCTTGCATTGAGGAAATCACTTCTGAAGTGCACAGCTGTGCTTCAGTGATGAGACAGCTCGAGCCCCACAGCTCGCTGCATTGGCTCACACAACACAAGTTACCTGGCAAATGTGAAGCCTCAGCATTTCTATTCTACTTTAAGGTGGTTGTTGCGAATCTCTCAAAGACTTGGCCTTACAGTATTCAGTCTTTTAGGGAAAATACTAAAGGAGGCACACTGATAGAAACAATACAGGTAGCTTGTCATGGGGGGTGGACATAATGGCATGAGCAGCTTTACAGCTGGGGCAGTGCAGAATGTCAGGGGCTGACCAGAGCTGGAGCATTTGGCTGATTGTGATGTGCCAGCAGTGGGCTGGCCATGGCTGGAGCTCCTGCACAGCTTGGGATATAGTTGTGACAGGGGACTGTCCTCCAAGCCTCTGGGTGAGGAGCACTGGGAAGGAGCAGCCAGCCTGGCAGAGCAATGGTTCCCAGCCAGCAGCTTGTGAGAAACCAAAGAGCTGCTCAAAGCTACAAGAAAGTTAAAAAAATTTAAGCTGTCAGGACAAAATATTGTGTCACTGGCAAAGCCTTAAATATTTAGTGGTTTTGCTGGTGGCTGATGATGCAGCAATCAAGGGCAAGCCATAAGTAACAAATGGCAGTGAACCTGGTGTGAACTCAGGGTTCATTAGCATCACGTAGGAAATGTTAAGTTCTGTGCACAAGGCAAGGAACATACAAAGCAAACACTGAGGTAACATACAGTGAGTGTCACAAGCTGTTGTGCTTAGGCCAGGCACAATGGGCACCACGTGGAAGAGACATGAAACTCCTCCCAAAGAAATCGCCTGGTTTGTAACAAAAGGAAAGCAAGCTGCTCTGGAATAAGGTCACTTTCTCCTGAACTGGTAAGACCAGCACTTACAGGGTTTATATGTACTTTTTCAACCATTAACATACTGAATTACTTCAGTTGAACATGGGAACAGATTTGCTTTCCTGTACATCAGTCTTCTTTGTACCAGTGATTTTACTTGTGCAGTCGGTGTGGGAGCTGTTGCAGAGAGGCTGTTGGTTCAGGGATGCAGTTCAGTGGCTGGTTCCTGCAGAGAGGAGCAGCTCTGTAGCCCCCAGCCCCAGCTCTGGCACGAGAGAGCTGGCCAACAGTAGAGGTGTTGCAGTGCAAGACAAACATTTTGCACTTTGTCTCAAGTGCTTCGTTAAAGGGTATCCATCCAAAACAAATTTGGATCAAATTTGGATATTCTTTAACTTTCATGGTATCTCTTGTCTCCCAATACACTCTGAAGTCATCTGTGATATTTCCAGATGTATCCATGAGGAATGCTGGTGTTCATGAACTGACACGTGGTCTTTTTCTGCTGAACTCAGTAGTGAGCTGTTCTCACTGCAGCTCAATTTTTGTTGTTTTGGTTTGGGTTTTTCTGGGGAGGTGGGTTTGCTTGTTTGGTTTGATTTGGTTTGTTGTTGTTGTGGCCAGGTCATCATTGCCAAGATAAAATACTCTGGCTTTTATTTATAGAACAGAAATTTTTACGCTACTGACAATGGAGCGATCTGAACCCAGGGGTCTTGAAAGTAGGTCATTAAGGACTCATAAGAAAAAGTGTGTTTTACAGTGTTCGTGATTTTACTGGAGAGAGCTGTCTTCTTATCTAAATCTTGGCTTTAAAATCAAGAGACTTCTATAAGCAAAAAAAATTAATTGATTTAATCACAAAGAAAATAATTATATTTGAGAATAACTTATTTTGTATCAGGAAGAACATTTTTCAATTTACTCTTCTTGAGCACTTGAGCATTAAAGTGTCTGAAAATAACATTTTTCGATCATTGGACAATGTAGATTTTAAAGTCAATAACAGAGCAAATTGCCTCAAATTGGAAAATACAGAAACAACCATGGCTTTGTTTTTTATTTCATTAACCAAATCAGGGATTTGTGATAGAGCAGCAGCACTTCTGGGCTAATCTCTGGGAGTGGGAGTTGCCAGGAGTCAGTTTGGCCTGTGGGAATACTTGTAGCTGTGCTTCCTCAGGGGCACAAAGGTGCTGTTACGGGGTTTATCCCATGACAGAGTTCCCCTGCTGCCTTCATTCCCTCGGGATAGCCCATCAATCCTTGAAAAGCACCAGCTGATTTGCCATCTTCTGGGGCTTCACTCTGTGAACTTGTACTGTAACCTCGGTTCTCCCTCTCTCCATGTGTGTCTTGAGATGACTGGAGCTGAGAGGTGATTTGGGCAATTTTTTGGACAGTACTTGGTTCATGGTGCCCGAGTGCCTGACCTGTGTTGCAGCAGTTGCCATGTGCTCTGCCCTGTCAAAAGGAGCTGTCCAGGGAGTTCAGGTACACATGAACTGTGGCTGCTGATTAACAATGGGTACGTTCAATGTCAGCAGCTTTTACATGCATGATATGTTACACTTCAGAGTAATTAACAAGATGCTATAAAACTCGCCTTCCTCTCACCCTCTCCCTTTTGAAGCAAGGCTCCTGAAATATAACTCATATTTCATGGGGTTTGCTTTCTTTCCACTTTGCTTTTTTTTCCCAAAATATCACTGTAATAATTACTGTAACAGCATTTTCTGTGGAGTTAATGTTCTTCTGGCTTAATGGCCCCTGGTTATTCTCAGGCCATCAACTTTTTCCAGCTGGTCATCAATCCCAAAGAACTGCCTTGTGCTTCCATTATTATTGCTTAAGTAGATGACATTTCTGGTGCCACCGCTGCCTCCCAGTGAGATGATATTACAGCCAATGGCATTTCCCCCCCTTGCTCTCACTGTTGTCAAAGCATTATAAACAGCTGGGGTGAGAATGTTGTGCCTGTTCCCTGTGAATTCCTCTGATAGTTTTTAGGTGCGAGTTTTGTAGACTTCAGCTGAAGGAATCTGAGTGAGGCAACTGAAAATGACTTGCCTGGAGCAGCTACAAGGGCTCAGCCCCCATGCATCATTCAGGAGGTGGCTGGGAATACCTGACTGTTCCACTCTAAAAACTATTTCCCAGAAGGAACATGTTTCAAACAAGATCTGGGACAGATGTTCTGGGGGGTGTTAATGTTCATTAGGTAGCCTCAGACCCCTCCCCAAGTTTCTACAGCTCTGCTCCCTTGTTTCCTAACAATTGATGGATTTTGTGGCAGGCTTTTTTAAAAGAAGAAGGAAGTTGGAGCTCAGTAGGCCAGAAACCAGCAGAGATTGTTTAGGTGAAAATGCCTTGCTATGTGGATATTCAAACCTGTGTGAGTTAACATTGGTGCTGACTACATTTCCTTTAACCTCATTAACACCTTGTCTTGCTTTCCCAAGCATGGTGGTGGAGCAGCTAGTTCACCTTAGAGCCTTTCACTAGGTAATTTATCAAAGTGGCAGGCGAAAGCTTAAAGGAAAATGCATGTAAATGCTACATTAGGAACCTTGGCTCACAAAGGCATGAACATTTTCACCCATACCATTAGCTCTGGATTATAGTCCACAGATGTGAAAGGGATGTTTATTGGGGGAGATGGAAATACAAGGCTTACTGGTAGAATCACTGTGCAGATTGTGTGCTTTTTCTTATTTTTTCTTTAATTAAAAAGCATTAAGCATTCATGAGCTAGTCTCACAGAATAAAAGAATCTCAGACTGTAACTGTAACCACTTAATACCTTCAAAATTAAAAACTAATTACTACAGTAAAACACACTCATCAAGTACTCAGGGCCAAAGCATTTTCAAACAGGGGCCTGAGATTGTGTCAAACCTACATCATGCATCCTTTTCAGCTTTAGAGTTTTAAGCTGTGCCTCACTGCAGACTGATGTAGTCATTGGATACCTGTATATGAGTACATCAGAATGATCGAGCAACTACAGTTCAGTCTCTGTGCCAGGGGTTTATCTGATGGTTTTGGTTGGTTTTTTTTGTTAGGCTGGTTTGGGTTTTTTTTAGGGGGTAGGTGGGCACTGTTGTTTGTTTGCTTTGTTGCTGTTGTTGTTGTTTTTCAAAGACACTAAGATGCACACCAAGTGCAAGATATTATTTCCTGGAGGGCTACCAAAGCACACCCTCAAACAGTTTTTATTTACCTCACAGTTCATTGTATTCTTGTTAGAAAGTAGCACTTTGGGAATACTGCTAACCCTTGCACCTTTTAGTTCTCATGCTGAGCAGTAGATAGTGACATACTCCTCTATAATTGATACCTGTGGTGGTGGCATACTTCAGTAACATGATTTATCATGCATTTTCATTTTCATGAAAGCTTGTTTTACTCTTCTGCTTCCATTAGGTCAGCACTCACTGAACAGGCACCTCCCATTCCATTTTACTGAGTAACTTTCAAACATGACCTGACAAGGTAGCAAAAGTTCAGTGCACTAACTCACTGTCATGTAGAATGCACACAGACATTACTGACCAGCTCTGACTGTTGAACCACAAAGGAGGTACGAGAGCACCACAGTGCTTGTGGTGTAACTTGAAAATAGCAGGGAAGCACTGGGCCAGGGTATCAATCTCTTCCTGTAGAAAAATGTCCTGACCCCAGGGTTGAACACAGGAACTTAGGAAGACTTAGGATTTATTATTTCCCAAAAAAAAAAAGGAAGTGGAAAAATAAAAAATACTGTAATTATAGCTGTTATAGCAAGTGGAGGAAGGACAATCCTAAGTACTTGGGAAGAGTAGAGAGGCTGTTGTTATTTGTGTTTATGAAGCAGCACTGGAAAGGAGGATTTACACAATGGGCTTGGCTCCACAGAGGAACTCTAAGGGCTGTACATCTACCCCATATTCCCCCCAAACACAGTACAGTAACAGGGCCCCAGCTACTTGGGCAGACTGCAGAGAGAGATTTCTGCACCTTGCTGAGGTTTTTGCTGTGAAATGCTCCATGAAGGTGTAAAGCACAGCTGTGCAGGGACAGGGAGATGCCTGCAGCTGACTGTGTGTCTTTGCAGCCGCTGAGGATGCACTGCAGGAGCTGCGCGCTGGTCACCAGCTCGGGGCAGCTCCTGGGGAGCCGGCAGGGCCGCAGGATCGACGAGAGCGAGTGCGTGATCCGCATGAACGACGCGCCCACGCGCGGCTACGGCAACGACGTGGGCAACAAAACCAGCCTGCGGGTCATCGCGCACTCCAGCATCCAGAGGATCCTCCGCAACCGCAACGAACTCTTAAACATGAGCCACGGCGCCGTGTTCATCTTCTGGGGCCCCAGCAGCTACATGAGGAGAGATGGCAAAGGCCTGGTGTACAATAACCTGCAGCTGATGAACCAGATACTGCCTCAGTTAAAGGTGTACATGATTTCTCGCCACAAGATGCTTCAGTTTGATGACCTTTTTAAACGGGAGACTGGAAAAGACAGGTGAGAACTTACATGGGTACACCTAGGGGATGTCACAGAGTAGTAAAATAATGCAGTTTATATATACCAATTTCAGATCTGCTCAGAGGGACAATCCTGCCCATTAAATCCTCTGCCTCGTGAGTTGAAATGTGGCATGACATGCCAAATAACATCACTGGTAACATAAGTAAAAAATACGCATCAAAATGATTTGTATGAAGCACTGCCTCATCAGCCTAGAATACCAGAGTCTGCATGTAATGTTTATGGAGTCAAGGAGGCAGGAACTACTTAAATCTCACTTTGGGGTAATATACATTAAAGTTTTTTTTTACTGACGCTGAAAAATTAGAATGGATAGGTTATGTTTTCTTGTAGAGGAAATGCCACCATTCAGTGAATTATAATAGCTGTTTATTGAATTTAAGCATTTTTGGAACATTGCAGCTGTAAAGCTTCTTGTAAAACAAATAAACATTAGTCATACATTAGGTGCTTCAGAACAGTTCATCTTACATTTGCAACTGGAAAATGGAAAGTTATTATGATAGTTACATCTTTATGAGACTGTTTATGAGACTTGTAGGCTGATCTTCAAATCAAATTTGTAGTAAGTGACCCACTGCAGTACTTAAATATTTTCACATATAATATTTGAAAATGGGCATTCAAACTAAAGACTTCCCAGAATGAAAGACATTTCTTTTTAATGAAGTTCTGTTTTTTTACTTATTAAATATGCTGCTGTAAAAATGGCACAGGTTCCCCACTTAGATACAAATGAAGAGGTAGGTTTATTGTGCAGTAACTCACAGTCAGATGTTCTACCTTACAAATACAAAACACACACACCAAAGCTTTAACAGGGATCGATCCTGTTGTGGACTCGAGCACAGATCTCATTTTCTGGGCTACATGAGAAAGGCAGAACCGGTGTTAGAGGAAACTGTTGTACCCTCTTAGAGGAAGGCAATGTTTGCTTGGCATTTGCTGCCTTTGTCACACCCCACATGGTTTGCTTGCAGAGCTCTGTTCAGTTATAGCAGATCTGAGTTTGTGGCTGACTCAGGCTCAAACCAGAGCACAGAGTAACTTGGTCAGTTTTGTAACATTAAATTGTAACATTAAAGGTTCTTCTCTTCATCTTCCAACTGATGTATTTGGGTCTCTGCCAGAACAAGAAGGAAGGATAAGAAGAGGAGATACCTTGCCAGTTGTTATGTGTTTGTCTTTTCCAGAGTAAAGCAGAGTGAGAAGGTGAATTAAGCATTTGAGCCCTTCAAGCAATGTGCAGAGGGTTATCTGTGTGCTCAGTATTTACAAAGGCATGGAAGCCAACAAACTGCACTGTAACCTGGCCACCATGAGCCCCAGGGGGAGGCCCTGGACACAAGGAATGCACACTGCCAGCTCCTTTCCTGGACTGTGCTTTTGGTGATCCAGGGCAGGATCACGTGCTGTTCCCAGTTCTGAGGAACACCTTCCCTTCGTGCCTCACTCTCAGAACTTCAGTTCTGCCATGGGGAGCCAGGGTCCCCTTCCTTCCCTGACACTGCCAGCATCCTGTTCTTTTTTTGCCACATGCTGTGCAATTTCAGGCAAGCTGCTCTTTCTGATTCTGCATCACCCATCCAGAGCCAGAGGCCTGTAGCGAGTGTGATGGAAGCATTTCTTTTTCTGCACAGGCACCAGGCTCACGTCCTGAAATATTCTCAAGGCATTTGAGCCATTAATGACATTGTAACAAGTTTATAGTGAACTCAGTCATGGGCACTCAGAACTCTCAGAGTGAATCAAGGGCACTCAGATGCCAGCAAAAGTCAACCTGAGGAACAGGCCCTGTTGATTTTAATAAACTGCAGGCTCTGCTCTGAATGAACCACTCCTTTAGAGGGCACAGACAGCATACTTGAAGGGCTAAGAAGATTATAACAGGAGATGAAAATAAATGAATAAGCTGCACAGAAGAAAGGGAAAATGAAAAGAAACTTGGATAGGAAATAATTTGTAAGGGAGAAAGTTCAAGTACTTGTGGGGGCAGGAGCAGAACACTGTAAGGCCCAGAATGCTGCTGCTCCCTGGGGGTTTCTGCTGAACTCTTGACATTCGTGCCTACAAAAAAATAAAGGAGGGAGAGAGAAGCATGATTACAAGGTTGCAAGAATCAGACTATTAATTTCCATCTTGAAAATGATGAGAAGAAAGGTAACTGGATGTATTGTGCTTTTTGGAAAAAAATATTTTGAAATTAATAAGAACCTTCAGAAAACATTGCCAGTTAAATAGCATGGTGAAAGACAAAGGCTGCAGAGCAATACATTTGGCATTATAAAGTAACTGTACTTGAAAATAACTTTATAATTGAATAAGGGTACATTAAGAAAATACGATTCAGAACCAATATTATAGTAATTAGATAAAAGCAGCATAAATGAAATAACTGCAGGAAGAGTATTTCCAAAGAGATTATAAATGAGATTCTGGTGGAGCAGAAAGGCCTTTAATTGTAATTTAGTGTGCACTACAGAATTATCAGCACAGTGTGTTAGTTCATCATATAAAAGAATATCTGATAATTTCCCCTAATAAGCACATGACAGTTCTTCATATTCTCTCATTACTGCTGATTAGGTATAAAAATAGTATTCTTTTGTTGGACTCTTGCTCAGATCTTTTAGGAAATGCAAGACACCGTAACCCTGTTTCTGTGTTGCTGTCCTACAGACATGGTATTTAAAGAGAGCAGAGTGGTACTTGAATGAATTTTTGAATCTTTATTTGGTTATTCAGCTTCTAAGCCGGTTTAGTTATATTCAGTTGTTTTCCTATTTTTGGAAAGCACTAAATGACAGCCTAAGTGTGTGTAAGCAGAAAAGAAGCTAACCCAGAAAATTAAGCAGAGAGCCTAGCTGGGTGTCCTGCCCTGGGCAAAGCCTTGGTCATGTCTGGCTGCAGTTGCTCCCTTGGTTTTGGAATGTAAGTGTTGGGCACCTGGAACAGTGGACTTGTGCAAGCTCCAAAGCACTCTTAGCCTGAACATGTTCCTGAATTATCTAGTGATTCAGAGCTCAGAAACTCTCAGGTGGCAGAGAAGCAAATTTTTTATGCTTTTCCCTACCATTCTTTTTCCTAATAATTTTGAGCCAAAAATTCTCACTGTTTTATATTTTTACTGTGCCTAAAGGCCTCCACTGAGCTTATGACCCAGCTCTGACATTGTGACAAACTGCACCACCCCCTTCAGTGCACAGTCAGAAAATAAATAAGGCCCCATAATTGGGAATAATGAGATGCTTATAACATGTCATTCTCCAAGTGCTAGCTTAGCTTGAAAGTCTGTGTGTCAGGAGCAGTAAAAATGTGAGAGAGTTTAAACATTACCAGATGATCCACTAAGGACAGGACAAATTACCTAGGCTCCTCAGCATCCTCCAGGCATATTTAGTCAAAGAATTCCCTTATGTTTAGAAGTGTCTTTTTAAGCAGCTGGCACAGACACCACCACTTTTTTTTTTTTCCTTGTAGTAGTCTGATTCCCTGAGGAAATGGGAAACCTTGGTACAAGGCATTCCTCAATCTGACAGTGCTCAAAACATCTCCTCCTACTGCCCTGTAGGTGACCTACTTGGAACCAGCTTGTTTAGCATTAGCTTGGACGCTGTGTGGTGGCTCCTGTCAGCTGAATTAGATGTTAGTGATTGCTGGCACTTGCTTGCAGTGGCTTTCGTGGCCTCAGGTCTCTGCTTCCAAGAGTGTTCCACATCCTGCTATCACTGGGTAAACTGTAAAAGATGGCCTTGGAACTTGGGCCAGGACCTGGGATTTCCTGGTGACTTCTCTGAAGAGAATCTCATGTTTTCTGCTGTGCTTTTTTGGGGGGCTGTGATCAAGTTTCACAGATATCTGGCAGATAGAGGTGTGGGAGAATGGGATTAATGTAGGTCCTACATTAATACATTCAGGTAGAGTGCCCAGGCCTTCCCAGAGCCTGCACTTGCTCCCCTGGTGCCTCAGCTTTAGTAGGAGATGAAGGGAGAGCCTGTCACTGTGACAGGCTGTCAGCAGGGATCTGAGAACTCTTTGGGCTGCAGATAACACAAGCCTCAACTTCTTCCTGATGGACTTTCCTAGCTGGGTGAGGAGCCATTAGGGAGAATTCCCGTCTTATTCTTTAATACCATTTGAAAGGAGACCTTTGAGTGAACCTTTGCAGATAAGAACCTGTGATACAGCAAAATTTAAACACAACTTTTAAATCCCTTACATCAGTGAGCAGTTACAGGCTGGTATCTCCTACTTTGCCTGATTTATACTGGGATCAGTTGAGCTTCTTTTAAAGCCATGTCCCAGCCTGCAGTGAAGGCAGGAGAGGTGCTGCCTTAGGGGCTCCCTGCCATCGCTCTCATTCCCATTGTCAGGCTCCCTCGGGCAGGGATGGCACCTGGGGTGGTTCCTAGGATGATTTCCCCAGGCTGGGAGCTTCTAGAAACCAAGTCAGAAGGTCAGCTAAATATTAATGTTGCTGTGCCTAAAATTAATTACAGCGAGGAAAGTTCCTGCCCAGATTACTCCACTGACAGGAGGCACCAGAAAAATCATTAAAAGATGGACGAGCAAAGGAGTCTTGGTTACCCAGTTTTCAAAGCCTTTTACAAGAATGAAGAAAATGCCGAGAAATTGCTTCAGAATGAATGAATAAATAAATAAATCTCGAGAATTATTTGCCAGCTTAGAAACTTAATTATGTTTTTGCTTTCAGGAAGATATCCAACACTTGGCTTAGCACGGGCTGGTTCACAATGACTATCGCATTAGAGCTCTGTGACAGGATAAATGTTTATGGCATGGTGCCACCGGATTTCTGCAGGTAGGATTTATTTTCTAACCATTATTAACCAACAAAGTTAATGTTACAGATAAATATCTGAATCTTTTAATCTTTTTCTTTTGCAACAAGTCTTCAGTCCTCTTAAAGCAATTAATGAGATGCCCCATGATCTCATTCTGAAAACAACAAACAGCATTTAATTATGTTATATAAAATATTTTAAAAATTTGTTTGTACTGTGGGAGAATTAATCCATCTTGTTGCTTTCTTTTAGTCTCTGAATATTTATCAGCTAAAAGTAATGGAATAATTGGCATGAAATTAATCTGAAGAAAGAAGTACGGGAAAACATTACTTTTAATTTGTTTTTCGAGTTCCCCCCAAATTAATAGAGGAACAGTATTCTCTCAGTGACTAGTTTCTAAATTGAACTTTCTGTGCAACTCAAATTAACATTATTGTACCTCTGTCACGCAAATGCCAATCCTGCATCTTCCTAAATGGTGTCCAGGAAACCGTCCCATGAATTTGGCCCCAGAGAATCAGTGCTGTGATCCTGTTGTGGGCATGGCAGGGGTGGGTCACAGGAGGCAGAGGCAGCACAACTGTGCCAGTGGGAGCTGCTGTGCACACAACAGCCTGTGCCCTTTTCCAGCCCCCTTCTGCCTCCAGCCATGCTCAGGACCCAGCTCATGGTTAGCTTTTCCCACTGTGGATCAGTGACACAGGGAGAGGCTCCAGAACTTCCAGTGCTAGACCAAAATTGCATTAGCCACAAGGTACCAGTATGAACACAGACAAATTTGTATTACAGCAGCAATCTTGATGCTGACATAAGTCTCACCTGCCCACCCAGCACTAGCCCAGCACTGAGTGGTTCCTGCCCACAGCTGGTGCTGATCCCATTTGTCCTGCTGGGTGACCTGGGAAGAGCTGGAGCCAGTCTGGAATGAGGCCTCAGTGCAGCATTTCATCACCTGCTCACAAACCCCTCTCACCAAAAAGTACTTGCTTAAATTTTCTAGTAGTGATCTGTCTCAAGTGTGGTTCATGGGGTAATTCCAGTTGCCTTTCAGGGGCAGGGAGGGCAAGGCTGCAGTACTGGGTCAGTCTCCAAGAATGGGACTGCTTTGACTTTCCTCTGAGCACTTACAATGATTGTTCAGGAATCTGCATTTGTCTTGGGCATGTTGTAGAAATCCCCAAAGAAATCACGGCATAAAATGTCAACACTAAACTCCACTTTGTGAGAATTTCTACAAATTATAACAAAATACTGATGATAAATGCTGTGATGTACTGCCAGACTTCAGCATGAATTCTCCAAGGAAAATTGCAAACTAGATCAGATATGCCAGACAACAAATACCTTCCACAGCATCTCGTTCTTCTGTCATCTCAGTTGGCCAACACATACTGCTTCAGTTTCTGTAAGTGGCTGGTCTGTCTTACTCCAGAAGGGGCTGTATTCCCATGGCACATGGAAGTAATTCTTAAACTGATTATCTAAAAATACAGAAGACAGCATTTTACTGCAAAATAACGTGTAATCCTAACATTTCAGACAAAGTCAGAATAGTTTAGATACATATTAAAAAAAGCCAGCTAAACCCAAACAAACTGTTTGAGAGAGACTAAAAATGTCACTGAGAGCATATGAAAGGCTTTCATAGAATCAATACACTGAAATCAAATGGACTTAAATTATAACACAAGAAAGGATGTAGATCAGTCCTGCCAGTGAAAGATGTAATTGTTCTTACAGCCTGCATAAAAAAATCTTAACATAAAGGTACACACACCTGGTTGTAAAAAGGTCATTTCTTAATCAAAGTAATATTAAATGTCTTTGCTTCAGCTTGATTCCTCAGGGAATGAAGGGGAAAACTGTAGTTGCCATGCCTGGAAGAAGCTGTCCATGAAGATCTGTGAAAGGAGCTTCTTGCCATAAATATAGTTAACCTTCTTAGCTGGCTCTTCAGCCACTCATTAAGAAGTTAAAACAGTGCTTTCTTTCAAAGAAATAAGACAACAGAACAGAATAGCAGAAATAAATAACCTGTAATTCTAAGCCATATTTCCTGGTTTTCAGTCAGAATAAGAATCTATAATAAAAAAAATCAAAACAAAAAGTCCCAACAAAACAACTGAAATGTGTGTGTGCTAGATGGTGAAGGTATTCTACTTGCTGTGCAAGTAAAGATTCATTAAGATTGAAAAAAAAACCACCAAGAAATCTTATTTCTGTTCATAATTAGTATCACCAAATTTATAACTTCAGCAGATAGATACCCATTCATTTTTAAGTATTAATTTGTGGAATAAGTAATAAGTGTGGTGATCACTGTCATGGAACTAAATTAGTGTCACATTTGTAACGTGAAGGACACCTCAAAGGTACCAGGAATCTCATGCTGTTGATTCTGCTACAAATTATTAGCTTAAGATCATTAACCAAACCGCTTTGCACCCATGCAGGAAAAAATAGTTTCGTGAAGGAGTCTGGAGCACAGACTAAAAGATTTGTCACTATTACTTGCAACAAGGTGTTTGAGATTTATTTTTATTTACTTTCACTGGACACTGAGTTTCATAGCTGAACTGGACTTGGTGTCCTAATTATTGTAAATTTCTAGTACTTTACAACAAAACTATAAGTAATTTCAAGCCCCTTTGCTTGCTACAGATTTATGCTGTAGTAAGGGTTAATGGCTTGATATTGCTCTCATGCTGCCTTGTGCCCTCTGTAATAAGATGAAAGCTTCTGCTTCCATGCACATTGCAAACATTTCTCTGAAGTGTGCACACCTCTCACTCACTCTTTTGTCCCAAGACAGACAAGCTATACATCTTGCTGTATTTTTTCCAGTGCCCAGGGATCCAATCCAGGCCTTTCCAGATGGGAAGCACTTCCCTCTCAGAATTCCCTTTGGCAGCCCTGCATGCACAGCACTCACTCCTCAACTGGGACATGCTGGATTCTCCTCTTGCCTCCCTTCAGCAGCAGCCTGACAGTGGTGCCAGATACCACAGCAGTTCCTGAAGGCACTGCAGGGCTGCTGCTTCCCTTTGTGGGTGCTCAGCAGCAGGGCTGGGAAGGACAAGACAAGCCTTAGTGAGTTTGTAGGAATTCCAGCCCCTGTCTGTGGCATTACGGCAGCAGGGACAGAAAGGCTGGTTCCCTGCAGGTCTCAGGGTACTCCTGTACACAAGGAAAACTCAGGAGGTTAGTGAGATGAACCCTCTTTAACTCTTCTCCTCTTCATGGGCATTCTGGAACTCCCAGAAACTTAAAACTTAATTCTGAGCCTTATTTTAACTAATATGAGTAATTTTCATTCCAGTTATTGAACCAGATAATTTTCCTGTAAGAATCCTCATTTGACTGCCAGGTCATTTTTCATGATAATTCACCTGAAAATTGGTATTTGAAATACTTTAGTGTTTTCTTACCTCTCTCTCTCTCTCCACTTTCAGTTCCTTTAATCAAATGCAAAGCAGCAGTTGTTGCTGGTTACATTTGCTGGAGCTTATGAGAAACTGTAAGCTGTATGTGAGCTAGTCCTGCTCTTTGGTCCATATGCCTCACCTCATTAGCTTAATAACAAAATGCATACATGGTTTGGAAGACAGGACTAATTATGGAGGTCAGGGAAAGGAGATCCTGGGAATGGAAGGCAAAAGATTATCTAGAAATCTTCATGGTCCTGACACAGCATCTTGCCCATCACTCACCATATAAATGACCCTTTACTCACACATCAAAATATGAGTTCTTTTACAAAGTATGTCAGTACCTATAGTTTTAGAGGGTTGATTAAGTATGGCTCTTCATTTCTAAGGAAAGAGGCTGACCAGAATGTGGTATGGGGTGGCCTGGTTTCCTTGCCTTTTTTCTTTTGTGTTGTACCTCCAGCTTTTGCTGTAGGTGGATACCATCTGTGGGAAAATGTGCACTCAAGTGGCAAACAGCAGCTGACTGGCAGGGTACAGGCACTTCCACGGGTGCTGTGCTGGCAGGAAGCTCAGGATATCTTACAGAGGAACTTCCAGAGATTCCTCCCAGCTGTGCTATTAATATGCATGCAGAGTCTGACAAAATACTGATTAATGTCCAGTATCAGTCAGTGATAAAACAGCATCTGTTTTAATGTTAATAAATTAGGTGGCAAGCAATTTCCTTATAGAAATTACTCATGCATTTCATTTGCTGGTGACACAAGCTAATTGCAGAGTTAGAAGATAACACAGCACAGTTAATTTGGGTTATGGTGTACTCAAGCCAGAATTCAAATCCAAAACTTACCAGCATGCAATCTGGGGGAATCCAGAACTCCCATAAAATGAGAAGGTCCTCCATTATGTAAATACCCTTCAGAGTTCCAAATCTAAAAGACAGCTTTTGAAATTCAGCTTTAAAACCTCAGTCAGCTGCAGAGTATTCCTAGAGAGGTCTGCAGCCAGCAGCCCCCATTCCTGTCCTGATCTCAGCCCCAGCTCAGCCAGCAGAGCTGCACACAAGGCCTGACCCCGCAGGCTGCCTGCACTGAGCTCCTGCCCCTCTCCCCTGCCAGGCCCTCTGTACTCTGTGCTGCACCAGGTGCCTCTGGGCTGGTTCTGGTGGCATGGTGCACAGGATGCAGTGACCTGGTACAGCCTGCCAGCAGCTAGGGACATCCACTTAGGACACACTGGTATTGTTCAGAACCTTCCATGGAATGTGGAATCCCTGGCTTCAAAACCACCTTGCCTGGAGGGACCTGCAGCCTGAGAGGGTCACTTTGCCCCTTAACTGGGGCTGCATTTTTCCCAAGTGTGTTGGACATATGATTTCAACTTTACTAATCCTAACTTTAAAGCAGTAAATTTATACCAAGCTATACAGGTTGAGGACCCAAGAATAAAATCCAGCTTTAGTGCAAGAAGGAGGAGCAGTCTGAGTGAAAGGCAGAGGCCTATTTGTTTAGTAGTTCTTAACAAAAACACGTCACATGAAAATGTATCCTATTACATTTATAGTAACCATACCAATTATTCATTTAAGCAACAATAAGAGGTCCAATGTATCAAAAAAGTGAAAAATTAATTGAAGATTGAGTTCTAATAGTTGTAGTTTACAAATAATAAATTTCTACATGAAGGGCAGCTTTAAATTACAAATGCATTTTCTGTAGGTGAGGTGATGAAGGATTTTGTTTCACTCTTATGTATTCCAGTGAGAATATATTTAATAAGTTTAGAATCCATCTTATTCTAGAAATGTAATTTTATTGTTGTTCTGGTCTTGTAAGATTGATCACCATGTTGTGTTATAAGGAAGGCAGACTGATCGAATTAAAACGTTAATCTAAGGCACAAATGGGAAGCAGCAGCAATATCATACATTACTCTGCATATACAATATGGATAATGGCAAAATAAGAAAAATTAGAAAATTGCGTAGGTGACAGAATTACACAGTAAAAATAATGACCAGCACAGACTACTGACAGATTGTGGATGCATTCAATTGAAAGTGACCTTAAATATTAGCTCTTCAAAATGAAAATAATCAACTGTATATTAGAGCTGACAGCCCTGAGTCTGTATCAGATTTCTTGCTCTGTGCTGGGGTCCTGTTCAGCTCAGGCTGTAACACAGCACAGCTCCAAGGCTTCACTAAATGCTGATACTGGAAAATTTTCTGCTACAGCAAAATAGCTGGTAGCAATTAGGGAGAGAGGGATACAATTGGGTAATTCTGTCTGGGATAGCTTGCTCTCTTAGTATTTATGACACAGAGAGAGTGTGAGTTCCTGTCAGCCCAAAACGCCCATGCCTAAAGTAATAAACCATCATGGGTATAGGTAGAGATTAAAATAAAAGAAGAATGAATTGCTCTGGCTTATTATAATACAGATGTGCCATTTACAGAATGTTACATGGAAACACTGAGGTCAGAACTGCTAAAATGAACTTTATCCTAAGTATCTAATTGGTGTTTGGCATATCCAGTGTGTCACCACGAGTCACTCATCTCCCGCTGGGAAATGTGAATGGGTTCACAAGGTCAGATGGATACTATGGGTGAACTGGTTTAATTTTTAGCTTAGATACATGAGAACTACTGTTGTAAAATAAAGAACTAATTTGTGCATGAGATGTTTGATTAAAATGCCAGCACCAGCTGCCTGTAGCACTGACCTGGCGAGCAGGCTCTCACTGAAGCTGTGCTCTCGGAACCTCGCGCAGCATGCTGGGAACGCTCAGCTGAGCTGACGTGACACAGATCACCACCTCCATCTGTCATCTCCTCTTTCTTCCCCAGTTCAGGAAATACCTCTGCAGGACCTTTAACAAATCACAATCCAGATTTAAATCTCTTTTAAGCAGTTTACTTCAAATTTCATAGTAGTAACACAGCCCTCCAGCACTCTCCCTTGTTTCTGAGCTACTGCTGTCCTTCATTTAGCTGGGAGGAAGAGGATTAAAGGAAAGCAAAAGAAAAAGCAAAGAAAACACCTTTGCCCCATTCTGATGTATTAGATATGCAAGAAAAAAACCAGCTACATGGTTTAACTGGGAGGAAAAGTGGATTTGAGCCCATCAGTTCATTAAAGATAGCATCTTTTCAATCAACAAGAAAGAATATCTTGGGCTTCCATCTATTTTCTTTTTTCCACAGGGATCCTAATCATCTTTCAGTACCTTATCACTACTACGAGCCTCTGGGGCCAGACGAGTGCACAATGTACATTTCCCACGAGCGGGGCCGCAAGGGCAGCCACCACCGCTTCCTCACTGAGAAGCGCGTCTTCGAGAACTGGGCTCGGACATTCGACATCCGCTTCTTCCAGCCCGACTGGGAGCCACAGCCGCTGCCTGGAGCCCAGCCCGAGGCCAGCCCGCTGGCCTGAGCACGGACACACAGACACACAGACCCAGCCCGCTGGCCTGAGCACGGACACACGGACACACAGAGCCAGCCCGCTGGCCTGAGCATGGACACACAGAGCCAGCCACGGCACCTCCCACAGGAGCCTCTGGGCTTTGGGCCCAAGGGCAGCCTGGAGGAGCAGGGTCCCAGGGTGTGCAGCTGGCACGGGCAGGAGCAGCAGGCAGGAATGGCATGGAGGAGCAGCACACACCCCCAGTACTTGCTGTTAAACTGTATGAACCCAGTCTGTCACCTTTTGGGGCCATCTGACGTCCTCTGTGTCTGTGATTCATGAAACACAATCTGAGTGTCATTAAGGGACCTTTAACTCATTATGGCTTTTTTAAGTGCGATGCCACTGAATTTTCATAGTGAAAACTTTCCGTATTTATTTAATGGATGTTTTTATGCAACCTAGGCCAGTATTTTTCTAATTCACAGTTATGTAGTTATCTTTCATAATCTTTTAAATCCAAAATTAATATTGCTGATGGTTTGAAAGGCCTAGCTTTTTATTTATAAAACTTGTTTGAAATATATAATTCTATATGGCATGTAATTAATATTTGATCAAGAAATGTTGGATTTCTTCTAAGAATTTTGGGCTCTGTTCCAGCCTAAAGCCTTTAACAGCAAGAGTGGTCCCATGCGCAGATCCAGCTCACTTTACATTCTAACATCTTATGTTAATAGGAAAATGGTAGTGAAAATTCTGTTTGATATTAATGTGCATTTGCTGCTGTGCTATTGAGCTGCTGTTTTTTAAATAGGGGTGGGAGGAAGGAGGGCAAACAAAATTTATCCACAAAAAGCCAAACCCCCCACTGGCCATGGCAGCAGCTTCTCAGTGAAGACAAGCTAAGGCTGGATGGGTTGTGTTCTGTTTTGCCTCTTGTACTCCTGCAAGAGGCTGCCAGCAACCCCCCTGAGGCAACTGACTACGAAGCAGGCCACAGCTGCTCAGCACAATGTGACCAAATTTCTGGAATGAAGAAGGTAAACTACCAGTACTACAATACCAGTCATGGTAGTCATGGATCACAGCACTGCACCTGCAAAAATCTCTGCTTTCTACTGTCCCAAGATCATCACTGATCTCGGAGATTCTGGATCACACTGAGGCTGGGATGTGAAAAGTGTTCCATGAGTACAAAATTGTCCTCCTGAGAGGAGCAAAGTTAAACTTTGCTTTTTTTTCCATGAAGTCCCTGTATGTGGTGAGTCCCTGCAAGACAAAGGGGAAGGACAATGCTCATGCTGTGTATGGAACCTCACAGGGGGAATTACTGGGTTACATGTGGCTTGTGAATAAAGAAGATTTCAGTTACAGTATTACTTTTCCTTTTGCTTCACAAATATCAAATCTCAAATTTTTTTAAGTAATCAGTAACTATTGCATGAAACATATCTCAGGTGATGAAAAGTGTCTCTCATTAGGCAAGTGCAAAAGCTAGAACAAAGATACTACCTTTAAACACCTAAATCCAAGAAGCTGAACCTCAGAGGTGAGACACAGAACTGGACCAAACACTCATTTAAACCCCCTTATAACCCATGGTCTTCCTCCTTCCAAAACTGGATAGCAATAGCTGCAGCTGCCCCACAGATACAGCTGTCTGGGGATAAAGTGAACTGTCCTGGCAGGGGCCAACTGGTGTCACCTCTGTAACACTGCCTGAACCTGAAGTGCAAGTCTCCAAGAGCCACTGTCCTGCTGCAGCCCTGCCCACTATCAAAAAGTAAGAATCTATAATGTATTTTGCCTTAAAAGCTTTATTTTGGTGTTCTTCCTGGTACACACCACTGAGCTTACAAACTGAATGCCAAGTGCATGTTACCTTTCTCTTGACAGCTGGTGTTTACCTCTCCTTCTTTCACTGATGATGTTTTATTTCTTCCACTTGATTTCACTGCATTCTATAAAAAACAGAATGGGTTTTGAACTAATGGCAGTTTGAACATTCCTTTCAACATGTGTACTGGGTGTGTATGCAGCATATATTGCCCCAATTGATGAAACCTGTCAAACTGATTTACAGATCGTTTCTAATGTGACTGCAAGACATGGTACAGATCACAGTAGGTCCTCTGATGCTTCTGTCCCTGTTTTATTACTGATACAATAATAAAAAGATCTTTTCATTTTAAACTAGAGCTCTTAGTTTTTCCATCACTCAAGGGCTGCAGGATGTGTATGCTATATGTTTAGCTATGTTACTGTTAAAATCGGATCATTTAAAGATAGAGTACACTGGTCTACTTCCAGTATTCTGTGAAAACACAGAGACTTGCCAGACCCCACTGTGTTCCACAGGCTTGTTCCCTGTCTGCAAGACTGCTCAGTGTCAAGTATATATGGGGAAGCACTAAGAATATGAAGAAAAATGGAATGAAATGTAAGGGCACTAAATCTCCTAAGACAGCCAAGCTAAGCATTGTAACTCATTCCTTGTTCAGTTTCTGTTAATAGCTCTGTGTTCCTGCTACCCTCATACACATATTTTAAACAAAACAAGCCCAAACTCACTTTAGTCTCATCAGCCTCCTGTGAAGTTTCAGCAAGGTCCCCCATCTAATTACAAAAATTATGAAGGAGCATTTTCTAAGTCACACCTGTATATATAAAAAGGAATTTGATGAAGCCAAGGAGACAGCAAGTTTTAAATAGATCACACAGATTTACATGGAACATAAATTGAGTCCAAAAAGCACAAGTTATAAGAGTGCAGAAGAAATGTAAATAACTGTTAAAGCACTGCAATTTTAATTAACAAATCAGTGATGTATTTCTCTACAAATGCACAATTTTTGAACTACAGAATCCTCCTGCATTTCAGCCTGATGTAAGGTTTTATGGCCTAGTTATAAACCAAACAGATTTATGACAGAAAATGCTGTCAGCCTAGGGATAAGTAGTACAAACTAGGCACTGCTGCCATTCTCTGCTTTATGCTGTCATCTCATACTCTTCACTATAATTTGATTGATTCATGATCTGCAGAGCATCATTTCACATATTAAAAGCTGTTGCAAAACAGTGTTTACAGATATCAGCAATTCCAAGATCTATGTTAGTTTAGTTCTGAACTCCTTACGTACCTGTAGGCTTTTACACTTGCCTTTGTCAGGAGATATTTTTCATCTTGAAGAACTGTAGCTCTTACACCATGATATGTGCAGCTGGAATTGAGAATGATAAAGAAAACATCTCTGCAACTAAGAGCAAAAATTACCACAGCTGCTTTGTGTTCTGTTGGCTCAATGCCGACAGCACCATGGTACAAAGCAAAACCATGATGCACATGGAGAAACCTTCCACCCAAAGTGCTACAGACCTCACAAAGTTAACACTTTATTCTTCATAAGGAAACTGAGGAAAGGAGAGGTTAAAAAATTAAGACCAAGTTACAGCCTTGGAACAAGATTTGGGAGAGATTGGGGGCTGCTGACTGGCAGCCCTGGCTCCATCCAGCAGAACACACAGTGGTACTGCCATGTCCATTCACACAGGCAGGAAAGTGATAAAATCCTTCTGGAGCTGCTTCCCTGGGACTTCCTGCTTCCCTGCTGCATTTTCCAGGCAGATTTCAAAGAAAACTTAAGTGATTTTTACCCAAAATACCTCTAAGTTTGCAAGGAAACAGTAAGATAAAAATAGCTGGAAAAGCATTGGGGAATGGGGTGAGGGGAATCTAAACAGTAAGGAGTGAAATGTGCCTTGTGCCATCTAGCTTTATTCCCCTGGAATATGAAGATCAAACTCAGTCTGGAGCTGACAGAGGAATGTCCTGGCTCAATAGCAATGGCTGTCATGCACAGATTTCTTTGCAGTATTCTGTAAGCTGAATGTAAGTGGCACAAAAACTCTTCCAAAAATGCTGGTAATAATTTCTGTAATGAAAGTTAATTATTTAATCTGATGCAAGGAGACACAATTTCTAATTCAAATTAAAACATAGCTTAGGGGTTAAAAAAAAAATAAGCAGTTGAACAAAGACTATTTGTAAGGCAGCAAAAGGTACAGCAAAACAAAAGGAAGTACAGAAACCTTATAGGTACCAATACCTCTGTCTTCCCTGGACTACCAGTTCATACTGATCACTTTGAACTTCCAGCTGCCTGCTGCAAAGACACACCTTGCATATAACAAACACAGGATTTTGTAAGAAGAAAAAAAATTAGGGACAATCTTGTTTAATAAAAAACTAGCAAATATTCTTTAAAAAAACTGTAGGAAATAGGAAAGGGCAAATGTCTAAGGTGGTGTGAAATTTCTCTGTGCTGAAGCAGAACAATATAAAATTCAAAGACTCTTTTCTAAAATGAGTATCAAATGGCACTGCTTATGCTAAATATCCTTAAAACCACTAGACTGTTAAATGTTTTTCACGCTGAAAATTACACCAAAACATGAAATGTCAAATGATGCCCTTTGACCAGCATGTGGGTGGAGATTCAGCATCACAGCAGAAGCAAAGCTGGAGATTTCACCTGGGCCATCTGTGGAACAAACTCCAAGGCGAAGGCAGAGTGGAACCAGGCCCTGAACCAACAGCCCCTGGGAGCTGAGCCCCTTCCAGGGGCCAGTGGAGAGCACAGGGCTGCACTGCACTGCAGGGAGGAGGGGACACTCCCTTTGTCCTGCCTGGCTGTGAAGGCCAGGCCACACCAGAGAAGCTGCACAGAGATCACCAACACAGTGTCCCTGTCTGCTGTGAGTGCTTTCACCAGGAGTTGTCAGGAAAACACAACAGACAGGAAAACTACAGACAACCCCAGCAATCCAGAAAAACAGATGGCAACCTGTGAGAACAAAATCAGGAGTCATAAAGAAGACAGATTGGCTAAGATGTAATGCAGCTTTTGTAAGCAAACTCCTGCCTTGCAAATCTGTTTGGTGTTCTTCAAGGTTTTCTGAAACAAGGGGACAAAGAGATCCAAGTGATGGATCTGCTTGGAATTCCACAACTAGGTTTGCAAAAAACTTCCAAAGAAGTTACAGTTAACACAGAAAAAAAAAAAAAAAAAGTAAGATCCTCACTCTATGGAACCTTTCTGAACATAGGAAAATAAGGCTAAGAGGATACAGTGTCATCTTAAGGGTACAAGCAGAATTCCACAGGAAAAATGTCACAATATATTTTCCTCTATTTTTCTACGCTGTTCCCTTGGTAGCTACCATAGGCCATTTCTAGATGCAGGACACAGGAGCTAGAGTGCATTTAAATAAATAGATAGATGAAAAATATGCAAAAATGTATCCAGTGATCATCACCTTGTACACTAAAGCCCAGTTCCAGCCTTGCCATACTCTCCATGGGAGATCTAACACAGGAACTGCATTCTCATTTTACTGACAGCAATGCCAAAGCACCCAGCACATATGGAGAACAAGACTGCACCCTTTTTAGCAGACACAGAAAGTCATCTTAGTAATTTCATTTCTGAGAACAGGTTTGTCTTATTTAGGACATCTCTAGTGCTATTTAAATCTGCCAGTTTCTTTACACAGCCCAGACAGGTGTTAAGATAACATGAGTAACTTTTAGGACACTAGCTACTTCCTGAAGTACAGGGAAGATAAATGGAGTAATTCATATGTGGCAAGGTATAAAGTTTTAGGATTTTGCTGAGTTAACTTTGGCTGTCAGGTCAGTTGGAGCCTATTATGATCCAAACACAGAGCATGGTGATAGTCTGTCAATAGCAAAACAAAGGAATTTCTGAAGGGAACCATTTGGTGTGGCTTCATTTAAGGCAAGATCTTCGGTTAGGTTTATGTTTTAACACAAAGACAAAAGAAGTGAACAGATTTATAGCCTATGAGGATATGCTTCCCCATTGCATCCTGGCTGCACACAAGGCCAAAACTGAAAGTGGTTACTGATAATCAGTGGGATTGCCCATTTGTGTTGGAGAAAATTGGAACATTTCCACAACTACATCATTATTTTTTAACTGGCTGTACATGTGTAGATGTGCATTACATGAAACACTGAAAAGCTCTTCCTCATCCCTCCACTGCAAATGATGCTGCAGAGAAGGAGCAGATTAAAGAAACCAGCAACAACAAGTGCAGAAAGCCTTACATATATATGTAAAAAAATATAAACAGGGACCACTCCAGAGAAGGGCATGTAAAAGAACTGCAAAAAATACAAATATACATTTGTATAAAATGTAATATAATATACAATGCAAAAAATACAATATACAAATATACTGATGACCCCAGAGATCCTATTTGCTATTCCATGTGCATTATAAATAGCAACGGAGGTAAGGGGACCCTAAAATCATCACAATTTGAGCCACAATATTTTCAACTACAAACTTAACCTGAACAGGAAAATCAGTACAGAAAAAGTAACTTAAAGAAAATCAAACATAATCTAATATTTAGTGAGGCTCTTTGTTAGTAAATGTCAAAGCATTTGGCAAAGGAAATAAGTACCATTACATTGGAGCTGGATATCAAGGACAGAGCCTCAGTTTAAAATAGTCACTACATGCAGAGCCAGTGGGCCTAGTCAGACATTTAATATAAGAGCATTATTCCAGTAAGTCAGACCAAGAAAGGAAATGTTTGCTATTCCAGATTAGTCAGTTTTGTCACAGGGACTGGTATGACATGCCATGAATCTCCTGAATAAACCACAGCCTGGTGGCCTGGTCTCTGCTGAGCTGTCACCAAAGCCATGTCAACAGCAGTGTGAAAAATGCTGTTACACTGTCCAAACAGTTTGCATCTTATGTGGCTTCTTTGGTTCAAGGGATTGCTGTAAAAAACATCACCAAAATAATGTAGGTAAGTACAATTTGTATATCTATCAAGCCTGTTGGCCAAAGCAGCCAAACTGGCTCAGTACTGGCCAAGGCTTTGGTGTTATTCTCACATAGACCTGAAAAGAAAGAAAGGCAAAAAAGTTAAATCTATAATCTGCATGGGGAAGAAAATATGGCACAATCAAACATTAATAGATATACATCATTGAATGGAAACCTTAAATATTATCAATTTAATCACTAAATCAGGCAGAAATCCTCATTAGGGGAGAAAAAGTAACTCAGTCTTAAAGAACTTGCAAGTGAAATGAGTTCTAAGAAATGCTGATTTCAGACTATGTTATGCAGCCTATGCAAGTTTTCATTACAAAACACAGATACTTTAAAGATACGTTTCCTGAAAGCTTTTTATTTTTAAAAGTTCACAGAAAGAGGGAAAGCAGAAATAAATTAAAGTCATATAATCTTCTATGAGAAACTTTCTCCATTTTTTAAATTCGTCTTTCACCAGTTAAGAAATGCAAAAAACTATTACACTCATTATGGTATAGAAGTGCTGGAGTGATGGTTAAAAAGAATTTTTGTGGCACCTGTGATTCATTTGTGGAATACTGAACAGAAACTTCTGCAGGACAACTATTGGTACTGAGCCCAAACTTTCCTCTCTGTCAGCTGCAGCCTGAATTTGATCTTCACATGGTTGAGAAGACACTTTCATTATATACAATGCTTTTTTCTGCAGTTCATAACTTTATGGATAAATTAGTCTCTTGGGTGAAATATTTTATGCTTGTCTCAATCCAAAGGTTAATTAGTCTGGAAGCATGATAAAATTCTACCAGGTCACACAGAGCTCTGTAACAGAAACAGAGCTGAAGATCTGTACATGAGGACACTGATCTTTCTTGCCCCAACCCTCGTCCCACATTGCACCATATACAAAGGTTGTCTTCTCTCCAGATACCACAGACTCTCTGAAATGCACCATTCTCGCTTTGTGGATTGCCTTCCACTTCATCAAGTTTTTATCAAGTCCAAATAATCCTGACCACATAAAAGCTTTTGACTTCACAATGCAAAGATGGATGAAATCTTCACTATTTACCAGAAACTAGCAGCATCTCAATTCCTCAGCTACACTGAAAGGATAATTAGAGAAGCTTTCAGATCTTTGTATTCCTTCTTTCTCAGAATCCATCAGAGAAGAGAAAGCAGGGGTTCTGTAACATGAAAAAACCCCTTGGTGACATGCTGACAGGATTGCCAGAGCTGCAGACTTCTGCCCTGCCTCTGCTGGTCCTTCCAGTCCCTCTCACAGGAGTACAGTGCAAGACCTCCCTGGCCTTATCACTGCACAAATCCTCTCCACCCAGGATAAATTCACAGCTGAACCTGGCCTTGGCCCCTCTGCAAATCACTGATTTAGTGCAACTCAGCCCTGCTCCAGCAGGCAATGATGCCCCTCTGAGAGCAGACTGGACCACAAGTTCCATTTACTTCCGTGGATGTGGTAGCTGAGAATAAAAATCCCTGACTCTGAAACGAGACTGAAATGGGCTCAGTGTGCAGGCACTCAGCAAGAGAATTAGACCCAGACTGCATTTGCTTTTCTGTAATCAATAACAGATACCAGCTTTCAGGAGGAAAAACCAACTGAAAGAAAAAATCCCTGCACTCTCTAGAAGAGACACAGCATCACTAATGATGTTTGTAAGGATACCTGTGAACAGGCTCTGGTATTGGCTTATGCCAAGAGAACAGCATTTCATCAGAACAGTCATTAAACATGAAAATGCTCTGCTGGAATAGACCAAGAAACACTGATTGTCTTCCCACCTGTCCCGGTTTCTTTCTCCACTCATTTTTTGTAGGAACCTCACTTTTCAGTCTGTAACAGAAGCACAGCTTGGTCACACATTGTGTCAGCCTTTGGGCCTGGTCACAGGCACTCCAGGGGACAGGAGAGCATCTGGCTGTGAGTACAACCCCACTGGGGAGATACTTTTTCTTCATTCAATAATAAAGATGCATTTTAAGATGTGATCCTGAAAGAGAGCTGAAAAACTGAAATGACCAACATCTGTTTTTATCATCCATGAGTGTTCTAAACAATATCTTAAAAGCCCATTGCAGGACCTGCCAGTGCAGTTCCACAGCACAGGATGCAGACATGAATACACTGAGTTTTGCAGGCATGGGCACGCTTAGTTCACAGACCTATCCATGCAGAGTCACACAATGCTGAAATTCAACTCTGCTCAAAAGGTTCCCATGCAAAGAAGCATCAGGAAGCTGCCACCTGGCTTGTCTCCTGGATTCCATCAGAAAGATCATCTGTGCACCTTGGAGGAAGCATCCATACTGCAAAGCACACTTGGCCTGCACAACACAAATGGTTTGTGACTGAGGGTGCCATGGCTGACTCCCAGAGGCCATTCCAAACTGAGCTTGAAGGCCTCCCAGGGAAAATGAAAAGGTTACTAACTTTAAATAAAAAAAATAAATATACAACACACATCTACAGACAATTCTGTGACATTCCTGTACTTGCTTTCAGATTGTAACTGTTCAAGGAACAAAAGCTATCACAGCATAGAAAAGACTATCTCATAGGTGTAGCATAGGCAACTTGATGGTGTCTCAGAATGATCCATTTCAACTCCTCACTTCTGTGCATACAAAAATGTTAAAAATGCCTGAAGCAGAGTTTGCTGCATTCCAGTCAAACTGTTGTTCTCTTCAGTTTAATCACCTTCACATGCATACTTACTGAGTGCCTCTATTCATAAATTGCATTTTAATAACCTACCTAATTGCCTCCTTTTCCCTAAGCAGATAAGCTTTTAAAAAGACAGAATCTTTGGTATCTACTGCTACTGGCAAAATTCAGCTGAGTTCTGTAGATGTTTCTACCACTTCCTGCAAAAGGTGGCTGAAAGAGGGAAAGAGAAAAATTGAATAAGGCCTGAGGAGTGCAAATAAGTGTTACTGCAAATGAAGCAAGGCACAAAACTCTATCAACTTGACTTTGTACACTTTTAAAGTGTGGCAAAACTTGCCTATAAAATAAATATTTGATTAAAATATTTACTACAATTGAAAAAGAGGCTGGGATGCCACAATCAAGCTGGAAGAGAAAAAAAAAGGACAAAATGTTTATGCACTCAGATTTGTATGTGCTGTGCAATAGGAAATGCTCAGAACCATATTCTAAGAAAAAGATACCAACTCTGATACTGTGTGTGATTATAGATAATTCCTAATAACTTTAGAGATATGTGTGTAGTACTTACACCATGATTGTGTCAGGTAAGCTTTATTTTGGTTAAGGAGAGAACAAGTTCCAAAAGCACGGGGCAAAAGCTTCTCCTCACTGACTGATGTGTTTCTACACATGCACAGATTTGCTCTTCTCTTCATAAATATCACTATTATACAGACAAAAAAAAACTCTTCTAGCACACATTATTCAGTAAATGTCCAGGAAGAACACATCAATATGTCAAACCAGAATTTACAAAACACAGGCAACAAAGCACATTTTCTAAGGGCTCAGAAACTACAGAATACAATGGTACAATTTATAATGTTCTTCATCCTGATGCCAGAGCTGATTTTCTTCAGTGCAGAATCCAGTGCACTGACAATTCTGAAAGCATCCAAGTCCATATTATATGCAATGAAAATACATCATCTGTGAAGGGTTTCTAATTGACATGAAGTCTTTTCATGATTTTTTGGCCTTCTTTTTAAGTAGATTCAGCAAAGTCGTAATTTTTGTTTTACTTTCACCAACTCACAGAATTCTAGACTCAGAACTGTCTAAGGTGAAAGGTCTGATCTAATGGTTTTATTTAACAAAAACTAATAATAAAAAGGAAATCAATATATTCCACAGTATTTTTATTTTTATGAAGAAAGCTTTCAATATGCCATGCTAAAGTTTTTACTGACAGATTGACATCTTAAATAATGTTCTCCACCATGTCCAGTTCTTTAGTAAGAGGTGACTTCTTCCAAGATTTACTTCAAAGTATGGCGGAAAGAATTTGCCCATTTACAATCCAGAAGCAACCACAGAAAACATTACTGGGTTTAGTTCCTGCCCTTTTTTAAGTTTAACCAAAAAGAAAAAATGCTCAGAAATGCATTAAAATATGTTTAAATCAAGACAAAATGAAATAACAGTAACACTTTAAAACCATTTTTTAGAATGTTTCCAGGAAAAGGGGCAGAAGAGATGGCTTCAAAAGAACCTTTAGAAGCAAGATGTCAACACAGTGTTTCAACACAACCATAATCCACATGAAGGGAACACAGGAGATACCCAGGAACCCAAAGTAGCAGCCAGTGCAAGTATCTTTTTTGCTCCAGTTCAGAAGACATGTTTCATGTGCTTGATTCCATATGTTTTGAAGAAAACCATGATGATCAATGCCCAGAGTCCTAAAATAAATCCTCCAGGTGGATGCCAGTCCTTTTGTTTTGGTTTCTGGAAAAAAAAAAAAGAGAAAACAAAAAGAAAAACAAAATTTGTAATTAGTTCTCACAATAAGAAGTGCACTGTGTTTATCAACTGCAAAAATATAATCCTTGCAGGAGAACAATACCAATAAGCTGTATTTCTTCCTGAAGTAGAAGCATCTTTGTGATGGATGGGGAGGCTAATGGGAGGCAAGCTGCCACTCAAGCAGGGAGGGTAAGTACCACAAAAAGGCCACTGGAACTGTGCCTGAGACACCACTTTGCCTGTGTGTATTGGTATCGTGGGACGTGTTCCAACTCATTTGTTTTGACAGATTTTCTTGTATTTGGTCTCAGGTGAATACAAGAGAAGAATTCTTTAAGTATGACAAACAGTTCCTACAAGTGAAAATGTGAAAGAGAAAAGAGAGTGTTGTTTTTCCACTACCTGTTTTCTACAGCTGCTTTTGTACTCAGAATTATGTGAATAAACAGGTATCTGACCACATAACAAGTGAAGGCTCATCATTTCAGCAATATCATAAAACTAAATAGGATTGTTTTCAAAGTCAATCACATTTCCCAGGGGCCTCATTGAGTCTAACTGCCTTTCCCTAATGTAGAAATATATTCTGCAATTAAAACTTTTGTCCCCCTTCAACAAATTTTTCATCTTCAGTAAAAAGCCATACACTGCAATTGAAGGCCTTTTCTGTCTTACATGTAGCAGCTAGACAAGGTAAAACTTGCCTGTCTTCTTCCTTCCCTTACTAAACCAAAATTCAGACACTCACAGTCAGAGAATAGAGAAATGGATTGTGGAAGGTAAGTGCTGCCATGTACCCCAAGATCTGTCTCTGGGGCTAAAAATAAGGTGACTATATGAATGCAAAATTTTAGTTAAGACTATCATGGCAAAAATACCAGAATTATAGTATTTAGAAGTGTAACAGTCCCTCAGGCCTGTGCCTGCTCTTGCCCTCAGCAGGTATGTTTTACAGGTCTCCCAGGCAGACAGGGATGATTTACTATTACGATAATAAATACTGAAGCGCTTGCTGAGATTTTTATTCCTGCCTTGCTGGAAGATTTGCACCATTTTGTCCTTGTGCAGAACGGGACGCAAGAGGCACAGACCTTTTTGGGTTTGTTGCATTTAAGTCAAATTTAAAATTCTCTTTCTGCCAAGTGAATAACTGTTACAAAAGATTTTGCTGTTTTAATTTCAGCATCAATCCACCCAGAGAAGCTTGCTGTTCTCTGCTAAATGTACCAGGGAGGCTGGTGAACTTTAATGAAAGAAGGAACAGTTTGCAGTGTCTGTTCTTTCAAAACAGCTTTCCTATCAACACAAAAACAATGTTTGTTGACTGCTCAGCTCCCCTTTATAAACCACACATTTTTAGCTTTAGAATTTTTCTGTAAGTGCTGCAATTTCTGCTGTGCCTGCAATTAAAAAGTAGAACAAATAGTCACATCACCTGAGACACCCAAAGAACTTGGCAGTCTGAAATATTAATGATTTTACTCTGATACAGGAATCACAAAACCAGCATTATAATTTACATCAACCACAACAAAGCCAAAGATGTGAGCAGAGCAGGTGTCTCTGTATGCAGAGCACTGAGCTCCCCGAGCAGCTGCAGCGTGTGCTGTTGGTGATCTGCCACCTTGCTGACATTCACAACTGCACATCTCCACACAAACATCTCTGAAAATCAGCTCTGCCTGCTCAAAAGGCTGCCAGCACACCTCGCTTCTGAGAGTAACAGCACATGACACTTCTCCACACAAAGGGACTTTCTTGTTTAAATCTTCCTAATTAACCTGTAACTTCATATGCATATTGCAGTGCCTGTTCCATCAATCTCTTTGTACTATCAATCTTTCCCTTCTTGGATCTCAGACAAGTATCTTACCACAAAGTGGCACCTGACCCTTCAAGACAAATGACTTCAATTTGCAGCCAGTGACACTAAAAGCCTCTCTTTCCTATTTTGTATAGAACACGTAATTTAATTTCTTTAAAGAATTTATATGAATAAATATTTATAAGGTGATCTATGAGTATGGTTTTACATTTTGTCATGTCTTGTACTGAAGTCTCCACGGAATTGTGCAAGGGAAGAGAGGCCAGTGCAGCAGTGGCTCTGCACTGGGAAATCAAGGACATATATATAGTCACTTTAAAGTCAGGGGATGCAATGTTAAAATGTAAAGGATTAAAATCATGAAGGCATGACGAAAATTATATGAGGCTGTACAAGAGTTACATACTCAGTAATCTTAAAAATAAATTATCCTAATAAGAAAGATTTACAGACCCAGAAACTGAAATATACACATAAATATTATACCACAATAAAAGGGCAAAAATATTCAACTGTGTTGAATATCTGTAAGTCAATATCTCTAAATGGTTAATTGAGCACAAAATCATACTGAAATAGGCCAGTATTTTCCATGAGGACATCAAAACCTTATGAATATCTAAAATGGGATTACACAGATTCACATTTAAATCCACAAAGTATACCTACAAGAGCTGAAATACCTAATTTCGATTAAATTAACTTGCTCATAGATTCCCAAGAGAGTTCACCACTAAATTAAAATATAATTAGTTGTCAAACTAACAAGTTCATCTTTCTAAAATCCTAACAAATACAACACAGAAAGCATCAATAACAAAACTCTGGCTAGGTGGGCACGTCAGCTCAGCAGCAAGGAGTGCTGGAGTTCCTTTACAGAAAGCTGCTCTTGGCACCTGTGCATGGCCCCCATCTGCATGGGACATGGAGCCACTGCCCCATGCCAGCCAGCTGTGCTTGTCACATGGGGTATGGGGTATGGGTTATGGGGTATGGGTTATGAGGTATGGGGTGGGATGAATGCCCTCCCAGAAACACACGAGTGCCTCACCCATACTGCTGCAGAAGCTGCTGTGACTGTTCTGTGTAGGCAAAAGGGGAAGAGTCACAGAGGTTTCTCTAATGGGAAAGACTATTAGAGTAAGAAAGAATTCATATTAACAGCAAATGAAAATCCTTTTTAGATCCACATACTGGAAAAAGGTTTAGAAAAGCCAGAATTTCTTTCTATGCTTATACCAGTTCTGTGGCCACAAGCCTAGATAAACTATCTCTTTATATCAATTTTAGGATTGATCAGATAGCATTAATGTAAGTAAATTTTTTCACAGATTCTGAAAAAAAGTCAGTAGTTCTCCTATGACTATTGCCTAGTTCAGAGTCTTATTTCAGCAGATTTCTGTGAGCTCCAGGCAATTTTTACATGTCAGGCATTTTCTCACTTCCAAGAAAATGCTAAGTGGACCAAAACCATGTTAAATGTCATAGTAGTTTGATCTGCAATTTATTATCTATCACTATTATGTTTCAAATTGATGTGAGAATGTGTACTACAGACTGGTTGCACTACCTACAGATGACACAAAACTTGTTCATATTTGGGACTGCTCTGGAGGAGCAGAGGCAACTTTTTGCTCAAGTTATTCTGAATTTCACTGTAGCACTGACCAGAGGTGCTGACCAGCACTGACCACCAGAGGTGGAACCGCCTCTGTAAGTGACATATTTAGGTATTGTGATTCACACAGCACAATGCCATTCCAAACACCCTCGTTATTCCCACAATAACAGCGGTAATGCATAGGTGAAATTCAGTTCAGAATGGTACACTCTGTCATGAACAAATACATTTAGCAGCTTAAGGAATAGTCATTATGGAATTGCTGGAGATTCCAAATTAAAAAGACAGGTAGCTAAGCAACAGCAAGCTTCCTCCTGTGAACAGTTTTTTGCTGTACACTCTCTAGTTCTGGTAGACTCATTATCCTCTGGAATTTAAAAACAGTTAACAGAGAGTTGCTCCAAGTACTGTAATTAAGAAGAGGATAAAACAGTGTATTTTCAAACTGGATGGGTCTATAGGGACCTGAATGGAAAGGATCCAAGACCTTCAATGAAGGTGTTTCATAAAACATGCAATACATGTTACTCCAATTAAAATGAGCTTTATGAAAAAAATAATTTTTAAAAGCTGAAGTGTTAATTAGAGGAAGAATGGTTTAATTTAAAAATGTTACATCACAACAGAAATAAGATTTAAAACATCACATATTAATATTTCACGTGGACAACGCTGTCTAAAACTTATCTACAAGGATAAATTCAAGTGTTTTCCACACTGGAAGACTGTCAGACTGTAACATCCAACATCTTCCAACAGAACTCTGTCTTAATGTTCTCAATAAGCCCAAAAATATTGGTGCAGTAAACTTTGGGTTAAACTCACAATCCACATCTGAACAGTTGCAGCACAGAAAGCCGAGCAAACAGACAGGAATTAGGTAATTACCAAATGAAACAGGGATGCACAAATTCTACAATCTCCTCCAGTACCTTTTTCCAAAGAGAGCTTTAAGAAAGGGTGCAAATGCTTAGAAATGAATGTGCACATCATCCTTGTTGCAGGGGATGTTCTCCCCAACCTGAGGCAGATTATGCGTGTTTGTAGCAGGAGTGCAAAACACCCTGTGCAACTGCACAAAAAGAACACATCAGAAGCACTAGGTGCCAGCGAGTCCATTAAAGTGGCAGCTATTGGATTTCGAATTAATCCCTGCTTAATTCTCACTGCACTTTCAGCACTGAGTGCCCTAGACCCAGTTTTGGCCTATTTATTGCAGCACATGTGGTATAAAACATCCCAGGGCTCTGGGGCTGCCTGGCAGACAGCAGCAGCTACAGCCAGGAGAGAGGTTGTGCACATCCTCTGAGGGCTGCTCCACCTCCCCTAGCCCTGCAGGGAAGTGAAACACACTTGTCTGTGCAGTGCTTGCACTCACTGGGGTGAATTTCCAAATTTTCTTTTTGGTCATTCTCCATTTAAATGAATGTTCCTTTTTCTTCCAGTGCATACCAAAGGTTTTCTTTCTTGTTCCTCAAGCTACAGAATTTTATGTGAGGCTTGGTTGTAAAGACCAGTATAGAAACCTGAAAAAAA